ATCCTCCCGCCTTGGCCTCCCAAGGTGCTGAGGTTTCAGGTGTGAGCCACCGCTCCGGCCCCTGTCTGTGTTCTAAACACTCTACGGGGATTAACTCATCTTATCCTCAAAATAACCCCGTTTTGAGGTAGGCACTATTATTATACTCATCCTACAGACGAGGAAACTGAAACACAGCGATGTTAAGTGGATTGCCCAAGCTCACATAACTGAATACATGGTGGAAGTGGAACTGTTATTTGAATTTAGGACTACCAGATCTGCTGTGCTGTATTAATAGCAGATGCTGTGAAATCAGGCAGCACTGACAGTTACCCACCCATGTGATCTTAGGAAAGTAGCATAACCCGTTGGTGCCTCAGTTTCTTTGTCTGTAAGATGGGAACAGTAATAAGACACCTTCGAAAAAATAAGACACCCCACCTGCCTCATGTAATTAAATGAGTAAAAACGGTCAGAACAGCAGTTGGCACTTCTTAAGTATGTACTCAGCACTAGAACGTGTTTGTTATTACCATGTTTCACGTCACTGCGATACTGTGAGGTTTATCTATGTGAAAAGACTGGCACATAATAAGTACTTCATTAATACTAACCTCTGGTTAAGGGGCTTGGATATATGGGATGCGTGTTCATTCTGCAAATATGTATTGAGGGCCTGCTGTATGCCAGGCTCAGTTCAGGGCACTGGGGATACAGTAGCATGGAAATCAGACAAAGCACATGCTTTCATAGAGCTTACATGATAGTGGGGAAGACAGAAAATAAACACATAAAATATTAGAAAACAATACAGAATAGTATAATAGATAACATAATGTGATACAGAGAATGGAGAAGGTGTGGTGTGCTACTTTGGTAAACACAGGCTAAAAAGAGACACAGAAGGAAGAGAGGATGTGAAGACAAAGTTAAGCAGGATAAGTGGATAGAGAGTGACCTGGGTGTAGTGGACTGTTTCATTAGGTTGAGTCATAAGAAATTGCCCATATTCAACCTTTCGTGACCTATAAAAATAGCAGTTTCCTGTGCTTCAACTTTGACAGACAAGGTAACTAGGGAGTGCCTCCTGAAGGAAGTGGTGATGAATCTAAAACTTTGAATGAGGAGACAGATCGAGCCATGACTAGAGCTGGAAGAAAGGCTTACCAGGCAGAGAGCAGCAAGTGCAGCGGTCCTGCGGTGGGAAAGAGTTTGACATGTCCTAAGAATGGAAACAGAGGACTTTAGTGAAAGAGGGGCGCATGGAGACCCAAGTTATACAGGGCCAGAATAAGGCTTTGTGGGGCAGCAGGAAGCCCTTATTAACCTCTCTTTTTCCACAGAACCCAGACTCCCATGGTTATGACAAGGACCCCGTTATAGACCTCTGGAACATGCGAGTTGTCTTCTTCTTTGGTGTCTCCATTACCCTGGTCCTTGGCAGCACCTTTGTTGCCTATCTGCCTGACAAGAGGTGCATGGGATGTCCAAGAGTGTGGGATGGGTAGAGGGCAGAGGCAGGGGTGGAGGTTGAAGGGGACTCTGCCAGGAGTCTTCTTCCTGTACCATTGGGAATGGGGAGCTGGGATGAGGGATTGGTGTCCAGTGAGGCTCCCTCAAGTCTGCCCCTGCTATCACCACCACCAGGATGGAAGAGTGGTCCCGCCGCGAAGCTGAGAAGCTTGTGAAATACCGAGAGGCCAATGGCCTTCCCATCTTGGAATCCAATTGCTTCGACCCTAGCAAGATCCAGCTGCCAGAGGATGACTAACCAGTTGCTGAGTGGGGCTCAAGAGGCACCGTCTTCCCCAACCCCTGCCTGCCTCT